AGGTGAGAGATAACCCTGGATGGATGGATGGCCAGTCCATTAATTTAGTTTAATTGTGCAGGTGCATTTTTGTCTTAAACGGCTATTATGGAGGTGATCACCCAGTGAAATGTGTGCACTGGTTATTAATCCTCTGGTGTTGTTCGGTCATTTTAGACAGGAAAAATATATTTTGAAATTACTTCATCGGAATGATATACGAAACTCGATGACTTTTATGTCATTCGCTATGTGACCACAAAAAAAAAAAAAAAAAAAATAAAATTTGTGGGAGAAAGATCAAGAGTGCAAAACAGACACACTCCACCAACGGACACACATATATGAACTAATGTGACTGTAACACAAAGCATGTTTGCGCAAATGCATGAAATAAAATCAATAATTCAGTCACAATGCAGTAAGATCAGACACCAAGGAAGGGGTTACACTGTAAAACATCAGGAGTACAAAACAGACACACACACACCACACTATTATACACACGCACAACTGGTGTGGCTGTAACAATATTGCAAAATTGAGCCAGATGACAGATTGATTAACCTCTGATAAAGCATTCCTGTTCGTTTTCGTTACATTTTTGTTGAATTTTGATGTTATGTGTAACAAAATGTCTTTCTCTGTGTTCAGGTTTGCCTGTAGTATAATTAATGCAAAAACTGACATTTCAAATCAACATTAAAAAAAATCTAAACCTTTAAAAAAAAGTTGTCTTTGAGAATGTCTAAATATATATCCAAATCCACAACTTAATAAAAATAAGTATTTATGTCTAAAAGTATAAAATAGTATAAAAATATAAAATTTATAAGCCTTTTATATAGAGCTCTATAGGAATCTAGTGGCTAAACCATGGAATTGCAGATGTTTTTCTCTTTTTACTCCCACCAGATGGCACTAATCTGCCTTCAAAAACTGGATTTTAAAGGCATTATTTTAACATGAAATACTGCCTTAATATTAGAAAAAAATTTATTATTTTCAATGGGGAAAATGTGTCATAATTATTACATAAATATTAATTAGTACCATGAAATTCTCTCAAAATACAACATAAAAAAGAAAAAATATTATTGAACAAAAATATATTAGATTTCAGGTGTTCGGTCACTTCTGACCGCGAACAACACAAGTGTGACCCCCAAATGAGCAACACTAGAGGGTTAAGCAGCAGGGAGGAGCAAAGCTGGTTAAATGGGGAACGCGTTTCCACCGAAAGGAACAGCAGTCAGTCTCAGGCAGCTTCAGCTTCAGGTTCGGTTCGGGACTGGAAATGGGTCGGCAGGGGCAGAGATGGCCAGTGTGGATCTTATTACTGGGATTGTCAGTGTCTGTCAGCGGGATAACACGACAGGAACTTTTTCCGTTCGGGAGAAACGCAGGCGACCAGTCTCTTGATGAAGGCAACGATGAGACTCAGGAGATCAGGCTGGAGAAACCCGTAACGTTTCACGACGGACAGTTCAACCAGATTTACGTGAGTGTTTCAGCTATGAATGATATACAATACTGCCATACAATAGCTTCAGTAATAATATAATGACCCTAGTAAAACAAACTTTGATATAAACAATGTTAAAAAAGTAATTGCCATATCCTGAGAACCAGAAAAAAAAGTTTAGTGAATTTTGTTGTTTTTTTATGCATAAGAAACAAATGGAGAAAAAAATTATCTTATTCATATTTTATTCTGTGTCCTTCAAAAAATAAATAGACATGAAAAGGTGTGTATAGGCAAAAACAATGTTTTATTTCTTCATTCACCAATCAGTTTTTAGGTTTCAGGCGATTAAGACGATTAATCTCAACTATGTTATGAAAGATATAACAGAATGATTTGATATACTGCTGTACTTTATGCAATATGTGCGTAAAATGTTCATAAATTGGTTTTCCCATTCTATACAATGTATCTATACTGTACACTGCATCTCATTTGCATATTAATGTATTCTTGGGGCAAACCATAATGAAAAAAAGAAGTGTAATAATGGGAGTAATAACTTGACAACGTTTTCATAAGAATATCTCATTTCATAAGAATATTGATTTATAATTTCTTGTGTTTTCGCAAAATGCCTGATTAACATGCCATTTGTCA